TAAAACCATAATATTGACAACCTTATAGCTTATAGTATATTATGATTCATATTTTTAATTCGCTGGAAAAACGAATATCATTCAATCATCTCATAAATAATTAAGGAGTAGCTAGCTGTGCAGAAAAAATTGCTCTCAATATTTTTTTTTACATGTATGTATATTCTTAATGGCTAGCAATATATTATTTTCAATTATATCAATAGATTCGATCTGACCTCATTCATAATCTCCTATTAAAAATTAATAATTATATAGCGTGGCGCTAAATATTATAAGCGTTGAACCTACATACATACAATCACATATTTTTTAATTTGCAATTTTAATATTTTGATTTAGTCATGAATTTTTTCTTTTAATTTAAAAATAACAAATAATTTCTTAAGAATTTTTACAATTAAAATATGCATTTTAATAAAAACAAAAAGAAAAATATAAAATAAATAAATTTTTTTTTTTGATAAAATAATAAAAATTTTAAATTTAAATGTCATAATAATTGATATGTAGCTTTTATTTTATTAATGTAAACTTCCGGACACAATAAAAGTGCGCGAATTCATTTTACAATAAATATATTGTTATAGTAGAAAATATTTTAATTTATCTTTTATAATTATATAATGCAATTTAATTATAAATTAGATAAATAATAATTTCAAAAAATAAGCGAAAAAATAGCGAATTTTTAATGAAAATTCTTATATTTTCGCTTACTTTTTACACTGAAATTATTGTAGCACAGAAAAAGTTATTGTAATATTTTTGGCACTATTTCCCGAGTATTTTTTGAAACTCTATACGAAATTAACAATTCTATGGAAATTTTCGAAAATAAGTCCATTTTCATTTAATTATGAAAATTGTAGTTGACTAAGACTAAGGTATTTAAATATTCAAAACAAAAGTTCTAAGTTGTAAAACTTGTAACTTTGTCTGATTTAAGAAAAATCTATATTTTTGGAATAGTGGGCTTTAGGAAATTGTATGCAAAATATTTGTAAAATTATTGTCATGCTAAACTTGACAAAAGCAAAGTAAAATATGTCACATAATTTAAATAAATTTTTGCCTATTCCAGTTAACGATTATTTATTTTAATTATATGAATTTTAAAAATGGTGAAGCACTAAGTAAATAAACAAATACAGAAGTATATATATATTATACTTTAAAAGTGTACTTCAAAATTTGAAAATAAATTTTTTTTTTTGTAACGATTTAAGTGAATGAAATTGCATTCATTTTTCTTCATTTAAATTTCGTGAAAACAACACGAACTAATTCAAAAAAACATTTCTAAAAATAATGCAATTTCATTCGTACATTATAACATTATATTCTAAATATTGTTTTCTAACACTATACATACACAAAATATTCCTAAATTAGTATATGCATTTAGAAGAGCTAAATAATAATTAAAAATATTGAATAAGCATGAATAAATAAATATTAATTATATATGCAAACTAAAACTTATACAATGTATGTACGTATTTTATATTGATGCAATGAGGATTAATATACAATTTTAGAATTACATAATATTTAATCGCTTTTTCAAAATTTTCTTAAATATAATTTTCAATATCTTTAGAAATAATTTTAAAAACCATTTAGAATTTTTAAAAATTAATTTCGACAATAATTACTTTTGTTAGTCATTATACTATATGAATCACTAATAATCTAATGAATTTTCAAAATTATAGTGTTTAAATTTTAACTACAGAAAATTAGAAATTGTGTATAAATTCTTTTTATTTATTTCACTAATTGATTTTTGCTCTGTCAAACATTAATAAATTTAGCACTATTATAATTAAAACGACAAAGAAAGTCCGTGTATTTTAAGGTTTAAGGTTTTAAAAGCAAATGAACTAAAAGTTAATAACTTTCGGCATTTTGATTTTGTTATTAAAATGTTTTCATTTTCTATACGGATGTTATAATTAATTGATAGACGAAGATACGCGAACTCAAATCGCCGTCAGATTTATCAACATTGGGGACTTTAACCCAACCTAAAAAACACACTTGATTTGATAACAATTTCCTAAAACTAATGAATCTGGCAAACCATTAGTTTTACTCTGTCTATATGCCATGGAAGAAGGCACGAACATTTCGTATCAGCAATTCAAGCTAAATCGAGAGGTCTCGTTCGTTTCAGTGATTATCTCAGTCATTATTTCAGCCTCACCCCCTGCTCCAACATTCGAGAGACCTCTATATTCACAGACTTCTACAAAAGTACCCGATTTTTCATAGTATAGTTTTTTATTTCTTCACTTACTTCAGGGACAAACATCATACTACGAAGCATCTAGTTCTGGAAAGTTTGTTAGATATATGTTTGCTTAGCATAACTCCATATAGCTGTACACAATATGTGCACATACAGACTTTATTATTTGGTTATACATATAAACACTCTGTTGAATGTACTAAGTTTGACGCGCAAAGTCATTTCTATAGGTATTTTGCTGTGGGCTCTAGCATAATTTAAATTTAATTGCGATGGATTTACTAAATTTGAGAAATTCACATGCACAGATTTACTTTCATTTAGCTTTTTCTTCAACTTATTTGTCAATTTATACTTATATCACTAAATTATTTACATTATTCCAGATGATATTCTAAACATTCATTGTTATATGTTAATACCATACAAATACCTGATAGTCAGCCAAATGCCTAATATGTGTGGTTCCTCATATTGCACAATGTCATTCAATATTTTTAATTATCAGTTATCAATATAATTATATAATTATAAAATAATTACATATAAAGTGATAATTATACAATTGAAATTAATTATAAAAGTGCGAAATTGTACTTGTTTAACAATATACAAATTTATTAAAGAGTTTGTTCGTGTATTTAATTAATAGCATAACAATACTATATATAGGCTATATTACAAAACCTTATTCTAATTTCTGATTTAAAGTGAAAATTTACGCAAAGATTATTGTATATAATTTTTTAGCAAGAATTTAGCTCAGTTCTGTAATATAATTATTATAATATAATATGTACATATATATGTACATATTTACAAAAACATATACCAATACATTAGGTACATATGTACATACTTAAAAAGTGAATATAATAAAAATACGAGTATATTTTTAAAATTTTTTGCACATACAATTCGATTATATCTAAATTATAAAGCTAAATCAATTATCTATAATCTTTCGCTACCTACACACACATAATCATATGTACATTCACACATAATAATGAATATCGAGTTTCCAATAATGAAATATAAATCACAGCCAATAATATTTGAAAATTTAATAAAAATTTTATATAAATAATAAATGTTTATTACTCAATTTTATTTAATTACTTTGAATATGGCTACCTAAACAGGTGTAATTAGTTGAAAGGTGTTATTAATTTCTTTTTCTTTTTTTTTTGTTAACTAATTTTTAATTTTTAATCGATTATAATAATTGATATTTGTGTTCATATGAAAATTTAAACACAAAAACTAGTTTGAATAAATAAAATAAATAAAAATTTTTGCATGCTATATTTTATAGCACAGATATATATGTATATAATGGCAAATTCCTTTGTTAACCTTACTTAGAAATGGTATTCTTAGTTAAATTATTGGAAGAACGGGGTTGGTTTACTCTATTTTTTATTTCTTTATCTTGTATTTGTTTGATTCGTAGCTCAATACAAAATTATTTTATGAAGTCTTCATGCCTCCCTTTAGTACAAATCATTGTTTCTCTCCAATTTGTTCAGCAGTTGATTTCATATATTCGTAACTTCCTCAATTTTTTCTTTGAAGATCCTGTAAATTTTGCATTATATACATAGATACGCATGTACGTGTTTACAGATATTCAAAACCAAAGAGTTTTATAAATAAGTAAAATTTATGTAATTGGATTTAAAAGTGGACATCCAATATTTGATACGAATAATGTTGGCGTGTACCACAATAATAATTTACAATTTTAAATAATAAAATAAATATCAATAACATTTTTTGATTTATTTGCACTCTATATGCAACATAATATAAAATGTATGATTAATTTTTTATGAGTACGTATGTAAGATATATTTAATTAATCATACATTCATACAATAGAAGAGAAGATCATGAATGATATACATACATACAACATTTTTTTTTTCAAATCTATTATAAAATAGTAAAACAATTAAATTACATACACACATACATATGTATATGCTTTCCTTAATTTAGTAAAACAAAACCATCCCACACTTTATAATTATAAAATTAAAAAACATTTGCCGTAAATGTTTTTATCTTGGAATTTTATATCTTTTTAAAGTGCAGAACGTATATTTTGTATGCGCATACATGATACATAGATACGAGTATGTACACACATATTATGAATTTTTAATATGTATTATTAATAGAATAAACTTAAGCTACACAACCTTTAAATGTTGAAAAATAAACTCTTTTGTTATATAGGTATTTCTAATAAAACAAACTTGTTCATATTTCAGATAGGTGTCGAATCAATAGATCATACTCTGTTAAAAAAGTTAATAATATCGCTTTTCTTTTGATATACTACAAAATTACTGTCTTACAATTTCATTATAGAAGAAAGAAAGCTCTACTTTAATTGTGTTATTGAAGTTGATATTTAATCCGAACTAATTTTAAGCTTTTACTAAGTGGGTTCCGTAAATGTAGCTATACTAAAGACATAATTTATAAGAAGTATGGTGGAATAAATCAACAGATTTGTAATTTTATCTTTTACCATATAAACAATATGTGATAGATATGCAATAAAATTCTACAAAAAAAACTTATTCCGAATAAAGTTATTTTATTCGGAATATAAAAATTATTCAAAGTAACACGAATTTCTATATATAGTTTTTTTAACATTGAACTTAATATTAATTTATTTTTTATTTTATTTTTTTCTCTTTTCATATGTAAATTCTATTCCACCCACTAGATTCCACATCGGAAGCTATTATTGATGTGAAAAATGTTGATCTTTGTTTAGAAGAAAATGCTAAAGAACATCATACAGATCGTTTTGATGCTGCTCAATCATATTTAGTTGTAAGACGTGGTCAACCATTCACATTAAAAATAACATTAAATAGACCGTTTGATAAGCGAAAGGATGCTATCAGTTTTATATTTACTGTATTTGATGATGATAAACCAAGTCATGGGCATGGTACATTAGTTGGATTAGTTCCACAAGATCATGTTAACTATTTAGGAGATCCTTATGAATGGGGTGCAGGAGTTCTCTCCTTGAATGGAGACGTTATGACAGTGTTAATAAAACCAGCTGTAACTTGCCCGGTAACTCAATGGAAAATGGATGTTGATACAAAATTAATTGATGGACCATCAAAAAGTTATACATTAACTCAACCAATTTATATTCTTTTTAATGCATGGTGTAAAGATGATCAAGTATATATAGAGGATTATGATGAAAGAAAAGAATATCTTTTAAGTGATACAACATTAATATGGCGCGGTTCATATAATAGAATGAGACCGTCTGTTTGGAAATTAGGACAATTTGAAAAGCATGTTTTAGATTGTTCACTGCTATTGATTGCAGATGTTGGAAGAGTTGGTGCCGCATATAGAGGTGATCCGGTTCGTACTACAAGAGCCCTTTCAGCAGCAATAAATTCACCAGATGATGATGGCTGTATATTGGGAAGTTGGGAAGAAACTTTCCCAGATGGTATTGCACCTACAAAATGGATTGGTTCAGTTGAAATATTGCAACGATATTATAAAAAACGGAAGCCAGTTAAATATGGACAGTGTTGGGTATTTTCGGGAGTATTGACTACTGGTATGTTAAATGATAGATAATATTGCATATAATATTATGTAATATGTTCTAATATTTTTAGTTGCAAGAGCTTTGGGTATACCTTCACGAATAGTTACAAATTATTCATCAGCGCATGATACGCAAGCATCTTTAACTGTGGATTATTTTATTGACGAACATGGTAAAATTATGGAAGAACTTAATACAGATTCAATATGGAATTATCATGTTTGGAATGAAGTATGGATGGCGAGACCAGATTTAGGCGTTGGAAACCATGGTTCATATGATGGCTGGCAAGCTGTTGATGCAACACCTCAAGAACAATCTGATGGAATGTACAGAGTTGGACCAGCACCAGTTAGTGGTGTTAAATATGGAGAAATATTACGTCCATACGATTCGAATTTCTTGTACTCAGAAGTTAATGCTGATAAAGTTTTTTGGCGTTATCATGGTCCTTATCAACCAATGAAATTATTAAGAATAGATACTTTAGCTATAGGACAACTTATAAGCACGAAGAAAATTGGTAAATGGGAACGTGAAGATATAACACACACTTATAAATTTCCAGAAAAATCAGATGAAGAACGTAATACAATGTTAAAAGCTCTTCGACAAGCTAGAAGTGCTTTTGCGCGCTACTACTTGAATGAAAATTTCTATGACGTTAAATTTGACTTCGAGCTGCGAGATGATATTAAAATTGGTGAAAATTTTAGTGTAGTTCTTAAAATTGAAAATAAATCAACTGAAAAACCTTATACTGCTTATGGACAATTAAATGTCGACACTATTCTTTACACTGGTACACATCGAGAAGAAGTAAAATCTTTAGAATATGACATTGAAGTTAAACCAGAATCATCAGAATATGTTAAAATGCAAGTTGATTACTTTGATTATGTCCCAAAAATGTTACCACAAGTAAGTTAAGTTATTCAAAAAATGGGGTGTTTTACCAAATTTTTCTTTTATTTTTAGGGTGCCTTTAATATTTCCTGTTTAGCTTCAGTCAAAGATACAGAATTTGAATATTTTGCGCAAGACGATTTTCGTGTGAGAAAACCAGATATTAAAATAACATTCCAAGGGAAAATAATATCACAAGAACCAGTAGATGTAATCGTTCGTTTGACAAATCCTCTCCCAATTCCTATAAGAAAAGGTTTATTCCATGTTGAAGGACCTGGTATTGAAAAAGCTTTATTATTTAAGGTAACCTAAGAGCCCTCTTAATTTAATTTTTTACTTGAGTTATATACTAGTATTAAGACTAAATAGTAATTGTAAATATGTTATATACACATAGTATTAATTTAATAACTTATAATTTTCAAAACACTTAAATATCCATCACTAATCTAAGCGTTCTAAAATACAATCCTTAATTTTTTTTATTTAAAATTTTTCGTTTAAAAATTCTTTTATATGTACATACTTACCTACTGATTTTGTAGATTGCAGAAATTCCAGTTGGAGGAACTGGTGCAGCAACATTTAAATTTACTCCACCCTATGCTGGCAGAGGTACTTTAGTGGCAAAATTTGATTCAAAAGATTTGGATGATGTTGATGGATTTTTGGCGTTTGAAGTTGAACCCAGACCAGGTGATGTTTTAACAAATGGTGCTACTTTTACGAATGAAATTGTTATACGAACTGATGTTATAGAATAAATAAAAAAAAGTAACATAAGTTAAAAGTTCGTGTATTTAAAAAAAATTACTTACTATAATTAAGATTGCCATTTTCTTTAGTATTTTTTAAAACTGAAAACATACTGTATGTACTGCATAAAAATTTTTAATTTCGATTACGTATATAACATGTATGGATGTATGTATGTAGCTGTTAAGTATATTTTAGTATGAGTAAACATTTTATTGTTATTTTCGCATAACCTGCCAAAAAAAAAAACATAATGCCATTATTATTAAATTAATGTTAAAATTTTTATAAAACATTTTAATCCGAATTTAGAAGAATAAGCTTTCATAAACATTAACATAACATATTTTATTTTAAATGACTGTAATAACATCATTTTTAGGTTATTAAATATGTGTATATAATATTAATTTTATATTATTATTAATAATGAATATAATAGTAAAAAACAATTTAAAAAAAGTAGTTACGTTATTTTATAATTTTTAAACTACAGTAAAGTTGTCATTTTATGTTTAAATTTGTTCTAAACTCTTGAATCCGAATCAAACTTTGTCCAATATATTTTAAATTTGAAAGAGTATTAAATTTTTTCAAACTAAACCCAAACAAATAACTTATTGAGATGAACTTTTTTATATAAAATTTTTATACGATCAATATTTATTTAATATTCTTTATTTACCATTATGTCAAAAAATATTGACAATAATTTCAATTCATCATAATTATGTTGATACTTTTATCAAAAAAAAAGACCATGTACAGTTTAGTACCTCTTTCCAAAAAAAAGTCTGCATGGTGCCAACACTAATTTGTGCAACCTGACGTTTATGTTTATTTAAAATAAAAATTGTTGCTCTTTTTGGAATAAAGTGTACAACATGTTCAGTGTTGCCACTTAATCTAATTTTTCAATTTTTAAAAAATGATTTATTTCAGAAGACTACATACTTATTCATTATCTTTACCACTTATCTTCTTTTGTAAAGAATGCAAAGTAATCTCTTGTATATAATTGAAGTTATTTGAAATTTTTTAAAAATAAAAAGTTGACTAATTTTTTTTATTTTATATGTCAATATTTTCTAACTTATTACAAAATTTATTTTTCTAAAACATTTTATTTAATTAGCGCTAACTACATATCTAATTGCATTTATTCTTATATTTCGTTAATATAACAATTTACAAATAAAAAATACTCGCTCAATAATTATTATATATGTATGTATGTAGGTATATAGACATAAAAATTCAAATTGAAATGTAGCAAAGTAGTATAATGAAAATATGACATTCCACTGTCAATTCAAATAAAAATTTTTAGTATTAAAGTTTGTTGGTGAAACGAGTCTCGTTTTACTAACATGTCAAATAAAAATTTATCCCAGAAAATTTTTGCTATGTCGTCAATTAGTTGTCATTTTTCATTAGGTAAGCTTGGTCGTGTGAATTGTGTTTAATTAACGTTTCGCTTCAAGCGGATATAAATTAAGACCGAGAAATTTTTATTATTTTTTTTTTTTGTGTTGATATTTTCAAATATATTAAATATTTAAGTGTAATACAATAAAGTTAAAACAAAATATAAATATTTTTTTAATAAGTGTTGTGATATGTTTCAATATAAAATATTCATAATTCCTTTTTAATTAAAAAAAAAGAGAAGTTATAGTTTTTAGTCTTGTATCTTCCTAAATAATAGAAAATAGTAATTTGTGACACAGATATTTTTCATTTTTTGTTTTTTTTTTATTATTGCTCCATTGGATTGTTTTATACTGGAAAAAAAATTTCTCTACACAATTTTTTTTCATTTATTAGTAAAAATATAACTATATAAAAGTAAGTACCTATCAATTTCTTATATCTATATACATATATATATCTATGCATTCTGGTGTAAGTTTTTATCCCGGAAAAATTGTACAAAAATACAGGATTTCAAGTATCTATGTATATAGACAATAAATGAATGTATAAATATTTATGGGCAAAAAATGTACAACACATACTATAAAATAAATGTATATCAATATTCAATACAAATATTTGTTATATTAATTTTTCTACTATTTTGCAAGTATTACCAAAATTTATAACTTTCAAAATTGTAGATTTTTGTTATTGTTGGTATACCACCTAACTTGTTAGTCTTATTCAAGTACCTACCATAAGTACAATAATAAAAATTTTAGAAACTTATAACCGCTTAATTACCTACTTATTTATTTTATTATAGAAATGGATTTAATGAAAATAATTCAAAAATTGTAATTTATACTCAAATAAGTTTTATATACTTACCTGCATTATTATTAATATTAATTTATAATTAATTAATAAAATTAAGTATGTACAATGTAGTTTAACGATCACTTTTAATTAAGACTCCATTATTAAGAGCATGGTCCGCAGTTAATAAAGTTTCAATTTTGCTTTTATTTGGTACACTTCATACGATGATCAAAATTCAAATCTATGAAAAACAACTAACGAACTTGAAATTAATTTTTAATAATAAAACGGTTGTAATATTCTATCAAATTACTAAAATTATAAACTTCAAAAAAATGAACTAATTATTAACCTACCCAGGTACTATGTTATTGGTAGTAATGAATAAAATACCTGTTTATAAAATTTTAATGAATAAAAATTTTCATAAAAATTTATATCTAAAATTTCTAAGGTCCTTTACGCAGTGAGTAGGTGCTTTGTTTGTTCTGTTTCGTTCATCAAGAAATTTGGCGTAAATATGTTACTTTCTTATTAAATGACTGAAAATGCAGTTGTCATAATATTTTATTATTTTTTGCCTGTTCTACATCATCTTGAAAATTTAAGAAATTTTAAGAGAAGATATTAACCAACCAAAAACGCAGACAGGTCTGCTGTCTAATTATATTTGGTAGAACCCATATAAAATTACTATAATTACAAAGACGTGAGTTGAATGAGTGTTAAATCTAAGTCTTTGTTTCTTAAAATAATTTAGAAGATAAAACTGCACATCTTGTAATTAACGATGTAGAGTATTCTTAAAAATTTCTAAAAATATTATTTCCAAAATTTTTACCTAGTATATTTTCCGCTTACAATTAAAAATTCATTCCTGTTATGATAGGACTCTATTTTATTTTGTCGCTTGCTTCTTACTCTTAATTGCTTAATTAGTAAAAACAAATAAATTCAATATTTTTATTAGTAATAGAAAATTAATTACATTATTTTTTAACTTTTTCAATTAAATTTTGAGAAATACTTAATTGTTTATCCAATTATTTTTTTAATAAAAATTTTTTGCATAAGGACAATAATTCTAAATTTATGAGTTCCATGTAAATATTCTATTTATTACATTATTTTATTGTTATTAATTTTGATTATTATTATTAAATATCATTAGTAATTAATTATATTGAATTCTTATTTTACATATATATAATGTATTGTATATTCAACATGTATATAAAAGTATATATGTATTTACTTATTATTTGTGTTATGCACTATGCTAAGTGCTCCATGTTTTATATGTATGTAGTTCTATACAAAATAGAGAAAATATTTTATTGCCGAAATGTGAACAAAAAGTGTAGAAAAAAAACATACATACATAAATAATAAGTAACCATTCATTTTTACCTGAAGCACGACATTTTTTTTCTATGAAAGAATGACCATCACTAAAAGATAGAGTATATTATAATCATTATTTTTATGATTATTACAACATGTACAATTAACATTGAATCCAGTTATAATACTAATAATAATGTGCCATATCATCTCATTGTAAAAAATAAAATGACCTGAACATAAGTATAAAGTAAATATTTTATATACGAGTATGCTTATGTACTTATATATTGTCAAAAATATCTAGTTATATTATTAGGTGTACATTAAGTATACTATTATATTCAACTTCAATGTTACAGAAGAAAAGGTTAAAACTCTTTTACCTCTACTTATTTATTTATTAAATTTTCGGGATATAAGCTGAACTTGGCAACATCTAATTTTATATAATTTCATATAGAGGTTCAGTACTTCTACGAAATTAAATTCCAATTAAGTTAATACTTAGTGAAAGGGAATCACTAAACTTCTCGTTAATAGACGACTAAATATTAAATTTTATGCCTAAAAATTTATCACAATACGAGTAATAAATTATTACAAAGTACAGTTATAAGTAAAGTTTTGTGAATATTTTCCATTCGTAGAATTAAATTAAAACGGCTGATGTTGTTAGAATATCCCAATGTTGAGCAAAAATATTGTTGAATAATTAATTAACTACTATTTTACAATGCCAAGCCGAAAGAAAACTAAAAAATGTAGGAATTAGGAATAATAATTTATTTTTAAGCATGTACCTTGTTTTCATTACAAGCAACATTACTTGTTAAACTGAATTCCTAATTCAAATTTTTTTTTGGCCTAGGTATTCAACACTAATTTTGAACCTAGTATACTAACTAAATTTTAATATATTATTTCCGCGCTCGGAAATTTTAGGTTTTGAATTCTTGTTAACATTACTTCTTCGTTTACAATAATTCTTAAATAGTGAATTTTTATACATTTTTAATTTCATTTATATTAATCAGTTCAATTATTTTGAACTAATTTAGTGCTTTAATAGAAATCTAAATTCGTAAATTGAACAAGGGGTTTTTTTTAAATTCACTTGTTCACACCATCAGTTTTATACAAAATTTTGTATAAAATTGAATTTAATACACTATTTCCCCATTATAAGAACACCATGCCTAATAATTAATTGTTGTTCTTTTTTGTTGTTACTGTAATCTGGTAACTTTAAATTAGCCACAATAATAATAGTATTGTGTATTGATTGTGACGAATAAAAAGTTGAAGGATAAAATAGATTTTTTTTCTTCTTATTTATAATTTAAATTCTGTTTCACTTTTGTACCAAACCATATTATACCCTACCAACTAAAGTGTTTTCAATATAAATAATTTTTAAAGGAATTTTATTGAAACTTGTAATGAATAATATGACTGTCTACACGTATATATGTATATGTATGTACTGATGTACATGCATATAACGAGTATAGTTAAGAAAAAAATTTATTCTTTATATGAGAATTAAACTTATAAGATAAGTATTGTTTTTATAATATTTTTACATTTATACATACTTAAGTAACATTTTTTTATTAGCTTTGTTCATTTAAAACCGGTTACGTTTGTTTAATTTATTTTCATTTCTACTTGTTTTTTACTTCTTTATTTTCTTATTTCTCTTGAAAATCTTGAAAGAATTGCTTTAACTTTGTTTTTTTATAAAAAAAAAATTGTTAGTATGTGCATATAGACATTTGTATGTATGCCTATATATGTATGTATAGAAATGTACATACAATAATACTTATATAAAAGGAAAATAAAAAGGTATTCAATTCTGCAACAGGCAAAACTGATTCATTGGAATTAGTGGTTTTGGTAAAAAAAAAATAAAAGAAAAAAAAATAAATACTTAAACAGAATAAAAAAAAAATTAAAGAAAAAAGTTGAAATGATTCTGATGACGATGATGAAATGATCTCAAGCAAGTAAAATTCTATTAAAATGATAGTATGATTCTCAATTGGAATTCAAAAATGTGAATTGCAAATATTATGTATAAATAATAAATACATACTCATATAAGGCTATATACATACATTTACATTATACTCTTATATTTTATTATTATTCTAGTTCTAGTTATTTAATTCAACTGTTTCTTTTCCTACCTACATACATACATACATATTTAAATTTTCATATTTTTCTTGTAGATACAATAGTAACTTGTATATATTTCTACTTCTATGCATTTTGATTGCCTCTACTTTTTAATTAAGTTTTTGTTTTTGACTCTATTATTTTTATCATCTTGTATTGCTATATTTTATTTAAATGAAAAACTTACGAGAAATTTGCAAATTTTATTTTCTTTTTCTACTTAAATTTTAGTTTTATTTACAAAATAAAGAATTAAAATTCCTGAGTTTTTAGATTCCGAGATAAAAAGAATAAGGATTTTTTGTCATAAGTTTTGAAATACAATTTACGAATAGTTTATGTACAAAAACAAACTTATTGTAAACATTCATTTATGAATAACTCTTAGAATATTTATACATTATTCATGCATATATGAACGTACATTTCTGTTTATATGCAAAATAAAATTTATTTACAAGAATGCATATTTAACTGACAATAAGTAATTTTACTATACTACTTATACTATTTTACAAAATATATAATTGAAATTGAATAATAACCGTCGACTTAAAATTACTTGTTTTTTGTAAATATGCACCTAGGCAGGGTATTATTGAAATTGTAAATTAATATTTTTGCAGCGATTGGATTATGAATTAATTAATGTGTTAAGTTACTGAAATTTAGAAATTCCTTTGAAAGAAATTTTTTATTTTAAAATTATTTAAATATATTTTATTTGCTTTTGTTACAAGTATTGATCAATTTTAATTAGTAGCTTACGAACTATTTTCGTATATCGTGGCCCATATTAATTTCGATAATAAAATTACTAGCGTGTTAGAAAAATTGAAATTTTTGTTAAACAAGGATTTGTACGTTAATTTCTAAAGTAATAACGTCAAATGTCCAATAACAAATACTTGCATAAATAATTAAATCGATACTACAACCAAACAATTAAGTGATTTAAGTAATCTTTTAATTTATTTTAATTTTTAATAGAAAAATTTAAAAATAACTTGACTCATTTGACAAATATAAATATTAAATATTAAATGCAAGTTTGTAAACTAAAATATAATAAAATA